GAGAAAATTTAGGTGTGCCGCTAATAGGCGATATGATGAGAGAGAGAAGGCCATGTGTAGTGCAAACTAGTAAAACACCTGTTAGGAGATGTTAGTTCAAGTGGAAGGCTCAAAAAGGGAAAGGGGTAGCCCCAAAAAGGACATGGTTGGAAGTAGTGAGAAAAGATACATGAACTCATGGCCTCACTAGGGATATGGCCTTTAATTGAGTAAAATGACGGACCTAGATTCGCGTAGCCAACCCCAATTAATTGGGAAAAGGCTATGATGATAATGATTATATAAAGTTGAATTTCTCAACTTCATAAGAATCATCACGGAAATCATAAAACTAGGCTGACGAGAAAATGAGTTTAAAAAATGAGGGGAACATTTTAGTATGGCATGGCCTTCTTGAAGATCTACAAGGCTTGAAGTCCATACCTTAATCGAGGTTGAATTCTTGTTTTTTACGAAAAGTTCTACAAAAAGTTATGCCCACTTTGCAGCTAGGGGCAGTTTGTAGAAAGGAAGATTAACAAAGCATGTGGCCCCTTACAAACAGGGAGCAAAAAATACAAGAAGGAAGTAACTAAAAACTTTGCAAAACAGCCTGGCCTTACATTCTGTGCTGAATAAATGAAAATTGTGAGCAACCGCTGCTTCCTTGGCAAGCGCAGTGGCTGCTGAGGTGGCCTCTCTTAATGCATGGATAAAAAATACTGATAGGGCACTTGTGATTTTGAAATTTTGCTCAAAATGGGCTCCCATCTCCACGGGCAAGGGGAGGACTTAGAGGCCTCGGCAGTAACGTTTTTGGAGTGCCATTCCACAAGAAGCGAGGTATCCCACCAATACTCAAATAGTTTGATGGCTTGAAGGAGAACCTGTGCTTCCTTGACAATGAAACTGCTCATAGGGCCTGAAAATGATAAGAAGGTCTGGCAGGAGTGGCCTCTTCTGAGATCCAACTCTGGCAGGGCCTGATTTGCACAAAATATACCCGCCATAAGTGTAGTTGAGTGGTTCCCCCCCAGTTGTGGGAGAGATAGGGGTGGTCGGGGGTGGGGGATGCATTGGGGCACAACCAATGGCTAGACCCCATGATAGAAATCGGCTAAAATTGAAGAATTAGACTACAATTATGTTTGAAGTCTATGAATGAGAGCAGCAGCCGATAAGATCACCATTCCACAAATATGGTCCACTATCCCACTCATCTGAGACTCCTGGCTCTCAAGGATGAGCACTTTTTCTTGAGCCATATAGTCCACATCATAGTAGATGCCAGTGTGCAGGGACTCGGACTCGGCCAAGTAACTGGGCTCAGCTGACTTGGCCTCGGCGAAGTAACTCGGCCTCGCCCTATAGGCGAGGCAATTTCCTGGCGAGTTAGATGTACAACTCATCAGGCCCAAATAAATGCTAGAAATTGTATAAAAAATACAAAACAATATAAGATTTTGTTACATTTAAGATCTTTTGAGAACTTTCATATTTTCCCCTTTTTCTAAAATTTTCTGAAATCTTCAGGGTATAAATCCACTTTTTCAATAATCTATCTTTCATAGCTTTATTGATCTTATTTACTCTCCTAATGATTTTATTAATCCTACTTCTTATTTTTAAAGGTCTTTTAGATTTTTGTTTAGCTTTTTTTACTATTTTTGGGGTGTACCTAACTCGACCAAGTGTGACTTGGCCGAGCCCACTCAGACTTGGCAGAGTTACTCCTCTCGGCCAAGGGCCAAGTCTATTTTCTGTACACTGGTAGATGCCAAGGCGCCAGGTTCCAGCTAGATGATGCCTTCGCCATCTAGGCAGACACCTAGAAATGCCCCAATCCCCAAGAACCTGCCTAGCCCTAGGCAAGGTGCCTAGGGCCTTGGCCTGCCTCAAGGAGCGAGGCAGTCTGAATTTTATATAATGATTCAAAGAACAAACACGACAAATTGACATGCCCGATCCCATTCCAACCTATCTAATGAGCTTCTATGGTCTGGTCTTAATTACACTAGAACTGATTGGGCTAGGCGTTAAGCATTGCAAGTACAAGTGGCTCTAGTGTTTTGCCAACCTTTAACAATGTCCTCAGAAATGGAGGACCACATTAATGAGCTCTTAAGCACATATCACATTCTTAACTGATGATGGCTTTATTTACATAGTTATGCTAACGAAACAGGTCACATGGAGACACATCTCGAACATAAGCAACATGGAGAGAGGCATCCTTCACAATTGGTTAATGACGAGGTTAGTCTTTGATTGCAACCAAAACATTTTTATGGTCCCATAAAAATTCCTTTATTAACACAAGTACAAGTGTCGTATGGGAATGTATACTGCATGCTTTGCAGATCCCTTGTTTGCCTATGTACCCTTTAGCAGCTAGCCCAGTTTTACTTTCATAACATCCATCAAGATTAATATTGACCTTGTAAACAACACTCAGAAAGGTTATTCTCTTCTACCAGCTCAACCAATTCTTTGGCGGAATTGCCCTCAAGAGCTTCAAGTTCTTGCATTGCTTATTGCAAACAAGGAAAGAAGGAAGCCTCTGCAAAGAAATTGAGTTCAATAACATGATTGAAGGGAAGCAATAAAGGTTATATAGGAATTTGAGTATTTTATGGTACAAAAATTTATCATTAAGGAAATTAAATAGTGTGGAGCAACAAGTTCTTATATCAAATGAGCCATGGATCAAGGTATATCTGAGAAAGTAAATGGACCACCATAGGACGATTTCCTTAGGAGATAGTGCTCCTATGAGAATAAGTTAGTAGAAGAGCACTCTTAATGGAACTAAGAAGTAAGAATTAAGAATTTATGTCATCCATTTGAGGTTGATCGTATGACTAGGAAACAGTGTTGCGAGATCAGAAAGCATAATTCACTTAAGACCATACAAATCACACCATGTAGATAGATTCTCTCTTTATTTTGAATTAAATATGGAAGAATGACATGTATTCCTGAAAGGAGACCTTTCATAAAGATAACATGATAAGAAAAGACTTGTATTCCATCTGACCATGGGGCAAGAAATAAACATCTATGGCATATCATGCAATATCATGAACTGAACCTGGTATATCTACAAAGTATGAGCATCTAAATACACAAAGTGATCATAACATGGATGTGGACCACAAGTAGTACATGAAATATGAAATTGTTCTCAAGTAAACAGGCTATAGTTCTAATGATAATGCAGATAGTAGTAAATTGTGCTTCACTCCAAAAACATTTGGGTATATATCCAATTGATAAAGGCCCCGATTACTTCAGGCATCATTTTCAATCACTCCATTCTGTAAAGAGGCGTGGAACAAAAACAAATTAAGCCTGTACCTTTTAAGGTAGAAATAAAGCAGCTACAAAATTCTCCACTATCATACTAACTCAACACCATATATTGGAAGTTTTGTATAATCTTGATTTCATCAAATAATCCCATGTACAACTACAAGCATCTTCCTTAAAAGGAAACAAATAATGTATGTAGCTTGGAATTGGCAATATAAACACACAAGCTAGGGCAAAATGCGGTAAGCTATACTGCCAAATATCAAGAGGACACAAATGGGAGTAGTAAAATAAACTAGAAAACTTACCCAGATATCACACGGAAAAGAATGAATCCATGGTTGCTCATGAAACAAGAAGGTGCTTTCATTTCCCACTACACAAAAGTATCAACTTATAAAATGTTTGCATGATTATCCAAGAAGAAAAAGTAAGTAGCAATGATGAAATAAACTATCACTTGACCACTCTAAAACCATAACACATTCAGAATATGCAAAGACCTTAAAATATATGTCATAATGAATCAGCTAATTTAGAGTGTAAGATAACTATTGCATTGTTATCAATATCATTGCATTCCAAATAACCATAAAAAGTTCTATAGCCACGTATTATTAAAATGAAAGATCTAACAATACTTGATTGATTAATCATAACTTGTAATAGGCATAGTTACTAGAATCTCATATTCAGTGTCATTCCAGCTTCCGGATCTTGCTCCAGCGCTCCTAGAGAGCGATCTCCATGAGATCCCAATCCCTTTTTAGATTTCACCACAAGCTACTCGAAGGGGCAACAATAGCTCAAGAAGTTGATTCACTTGGATTTTATTTGCTATCATACATGCCCTCTCGATAATGATTTTGGATGTTGTAGAGTGTAAAGTTGCAAATAAAGGAACTTGTTATGCTTTTGGATGTCGTAAAGTGTGAACTCGTTTATAAAGAAGATTTTTATCAGTTAAAAATCAGCTCCCCTGTATTCTTATTGGTTGTCGTGATGTATTGCATCATGATATTTTTTATTGTATTCTTGGGAATTCTTGTTACACAAACTACACCTCAAAGGAATATAAAAAAAATATTTCTTAATGAAATAAAGTTTAATTAATAAAAATTTCTTTTTTATTGTATCTATTGTGTGCCATTTATTTTGTGCATCATTAGGGTTTTTATAATATTTTACAAAATTTATGATTCTAAAAAATATTAATAAAAAACATTGTACAAAATGCATTCCCCATGGAAATTTCTCCTTGCCTAAGTCCAAGCAATTATGGTAATAGGGCTAATATTCAAATGCTGAATTGGGATGATCTCATGAGAAAGGTGTGCTCATCATTGATATGACCCTAATCTTGGTTGATAAGGTGCATCATGTATGAAGAGTAATTTTCTATTGTTTAGTGATTTAGGTTCAATTTCTTATTTGAATGGATATGTTGACTAGGTTGGGTAGGATAATAGAGTTGGATTTCTATTAAAGTAAGATACATATTGGATAGAGATTAAGGTTGGTTACATGAAGCGATAGTGTTTCAAAAGAAACTAAATAGGGAGAGAGTAGCAAGTAGAAAGGAGCACAAGGGAAAACTAAAAGAAATCTAATGGAGGACCAGCCCCTCAAAATGGCTTGTAAGGAGGATTGCCCCCCAAAGAGGATATATTTTTAATAAGGGATTGTCTACAAAGAGACCATCTATCTTTTGTACATCAAGTGCGCCGTTGGTCAAGTGATTGGGTGTGGGGTGTGTTAAGCCCTAAGGGGATAACACTAAGCAAAATGTCAGTAAGTCTTGCCATATTTATTCTATCTGATTTATTGTTACTATTATCTATTTATTTCATAAAGTTGTTAAGTTTTATTCAGTTTGAATAAAGTTTATTTTAGGCAGTAAGTTATTAAGATATTATGATAGGCCTATTCTACTGTATGCTTGGAGTCCCGAAACACTTATCTCAAACTTATAAATGCCAAGGCATGATGTTTGGAGTCCTGAAACTGAGGTTTTATGGAATGAGAAAGGGCAGTCATTTGCTAGCCCAGCTTAACTGTGGGTTAGTAGTCGATGTTTAACAATGCTGCATCTCAAGTTCTGTTCTTACCACTGAACTACCCCCCAAAAAAAAAAATAGACAAAAAATTGAGAGGAGGATCCTTGGGCTTCTTTCTCACCTATGGTCTCGACCTAGTCAACATTATGAAGTCCCTTAGCAGGTTGGAGAGGAATCTGAATAATCCCACATTTGACATTTCACTCCGACATACATGGAGACATGTCAATAGCTCGGTCGATGGAATGAAAGAACCCCCACAGTGCTTAAACATTGGAGTATTCCATGGCCAAAATGATCTGTCCATTTGGGTGTAATTCCATTTCTTGGAATAATTTGTGTACCACTATTTTCAGTTGTCTTTGGCATAGAGCAATTTATGAGATTTCATTCTCTCTTTTAAATCTCTATGTACATATTCAAGTCTCTGAACCATCTAATGTGGTTCGCTTTATTGAACATCTGAACCGCAATGATACATGCTGCTTAGAATGTCTAATGTATCCTATTGACTCATACCAATAATAACTTGACTAGTCAAAGGTAGCATGAGCATCCAGCGAACTTTTATCCTCAAATAAAGCTAGAGGTGACAAACCTCTGCATCTAAAGTCCCACCTGGAGAGAATAAATCAAATATGTGCTGCTGAGATTCAGTCCTCATTCATCTTGTATCCATTCCCAAATCCAGAGAAAATAATGCAAGCATTTAGGATCTTCAAAACTTTGATACTAAGTGAAGAGAAGGAGATGTGAGGAGAAGAGAGGATTGAGCAAGATTCTCTCTCATTGCTTAGTACACACAAGTTAAAACATGTAGTATAGATGACACTACAACTCTTTCACATATAATGATCTAAAATATAGAAAGTACACATGAATGAGAATATATGTTCTATGTTGTCTAATAGGCACAAGAGTCATTGCTTAACAAGAATATGTAGAACATAGAAAGTTCATAATACTCCTTATTAGCTAACATGTATTATACAAGAGTTTTTCCATAACAAGAATATGTAGAAAATAGAAAGTTCATAGTGCTCATTATTAGCTAACATGGAACTTGAATGATCCCTTCAAAAGAAAGATACCATACCAACCAATGGAAAAAAACACTAGTGATTTAGTCCAAAAGAAAAACTTATGTTACCTGTGACCAAATATATGTTGCCATTTCAAAAGCATTCTGCACTATGCACATCAAAAACATATATAAGTGAAGAACAACCATGAGATAGCTAGAAAATAAGATGTGACTCATTTACTTACCTGAAAAGATATAAATTGAATCAACCATAGCATAAGCTTAGGCTTCCCAAACCAAAAGAGACCATCACGTGGATTTAATTGAGTTTCTACAGGACTGTCTGTTGTTATTATTTCAATAGCTAATTGAGCCACTACATGGTGCATTTTGGTACCGACCAAAAGGATCAACTGCAGTGCAATTGAAATGATAAATTAAACTATGCATCAGTCAATAGCAATTTAGCACAATCAAACAATAAATTGTAGATATACTACAAGGAGTCAATGCTTACGATTGCAGGAATAAAAGACAACCAGAAAAATATATTTGTCCCTGGCATATTAACAAATGACCCATCAGTTTAACGTGAACTGATAAAGAGACAAAGACATAGTTTGTACAATAACAGCTATATGCCCAAGAAAAATACCGTGAATGTTTGCGAAAACACAGAGAATGGCATAAAACCAGAGAGGCCAACTGCATGAATCATTAACATTAGCAATCCATTAGAACATAGTTTATTATACTAATTAAAAAAAGAAAGTAATTAAGGTTCTAAAAGAGCAACAACTTCTGAAAATAAGCATGCATGATGAGAGTCTAAACAAACTACGATCACATTTCATGAGATAGGAAAATAAAAGCATTATCACCAAAATAACTTAATATGTGATGCAAACCTAATCCAACTAGATACGAGTCAAGCATGGCCAAACAGCCATTTCTAGTCTTACATAGGCCCAAATTGCAAAAGAATGGTGTTGATGGCTTTATAATGTCATGGGACTCTGGCGATATGTGATGATTTTTCCAGAATTTGTGGTTCATGAAGATGCATTCAGTATTCATGCTGTTTTTTTGGCAAATGCGCTAGGACCGACTACTAGTCATGTAACATTATACGTTATTTTAATGGGAAAATGACCTCCAAGTTCAAAATCTTGGGACCGTTAACCCCCCAATTACCAAATGTGCATTTATCCGAAATTATGAGCACCACCTCTATAGCGCTGTTTTTTTCCTAAGTTGCCCTCTTGTCGGCAACGTAAATAACAGACAGGAAGACTAATTTTCTTTCAAAGTAAAAGAGTTGTCCAGTGGTTGAATTACTGGACAGCTCTCCTCATTTAAGTTCTTATAGTTGTTTATTGTCCGGTTCGAAATACCGGACAACAACTTGGGCATTCTAACCCCCTACAAGCCCCATTTCGCTGATCTCGCTCTCTCTTTTCTCTACTCTTGCCATCTCTTTCCTCAAGCCCAACCCCAACCCTCTCTACGACCTTCAAACCCAGGCCTCTCTGTCGTTGCGGAGCAAGCAAGCCCTACAGAGCCCTTCCTCGCCTCATTTCTCTGCAACTTTCATGGAAAACCGCCCCTCTGAGAAGAAAAATCCTTTGCTTCTCTGAGAAAACCTATCTTGCTGAGATCTAGGGGAGTTACTTTACTTTTGTATGATGGTTGCATAATTAATTATGCAAATATGCCCTAGTGTGTTGTTCTATTAATATGCAACTATAACAAAAAATAAAGTAACTCAGCAAGATCAGTCTTCTTCTCAAAGATGCGAGGGACTTTTCTTCTCAGAGGGATGGTTTTCTATGAAAGCTGCAGATAAATGAGGCAAAGAAGGGCTCGGTAGGGCTTGAGAAGCCTGCTCCGTGAAGAGAAAGAGGGCTGGGCTCGAAGGTTGCAGAGAGGGTTGGGCTTGAGCTTGAGGAAAGAGATGGCGAGTGCAGAGAAAAGGGAAAAGAGAGAGTGAGATCAGTGAAATGGGGCCTGTAGAGGGTTAGAAATCGAAAATTGTTGTCCAGTATTTTGAACAAACAACAATAAAAACTAAAACGAGGAGAACTACCCGGCAACTCAAACGCCAGACAGCTCCTTTACTTTGAAAGAAAATTAGTCATCCTCATGTCTGGTATTTGCATTGCCGGACAGGGGGGCAACATAGGAAGGAAAAAAACGTCGCAAGGGATTGTGCTCGTAATTTCGAGCAAATGAGTGCCCATTTGGTAATTGACCCTCACTCCCCCCAAAAGTATTTGTACATAACTTGCTCTTATTTTACAAAATTGATCTTTTTCTTTGTTCTTTTAACAAATTTGATCTTTTTGTTTTACAAAATGGCAAACCCATCCATTAGTCAACTCCCTTCCCTTTCTCTTTTGTTGCCCAAAACCAATCTTACCGTCGTAGACCCACTCTACAAATTTAAACTTGAAAAGAAAATAATTTTTTTTAATAGATGACCTATTTTATAATTGCATCAATATATTTTGGACTTGCAAAATGATTAATCCAGATCTTCACTACTATTGTTAATGGATTTTTACTATTATTTATTCATTCATTAAAGAAATTTATCAAAATACCTATAAGATAACTATTTAACAATATATTGTTGTTGTTATTGTTATTATTACTATTATTATCAATAAAAATTGTATATAAAGTCATAAAAAAAAATATAGATGGGTTTCGCATCTAGTAAAACAAACGAATGAAGCTTCTAAAAAGAACAAAAGAACGCATAATTGGGGCCTAACCATTCCAAAGTTTTAAACTTGACGCATATAAAGGATTTTGGTGAACCCATAATAGGGATGGAAATCATAGGGAGGGGGTATAGGTTATTTTCCCAATTTTTTTATGTTGAGAAAGTTATTTTGGTCCAGGTCTATTAGTCTTTTGTTTTGTACTTTTATTTAATTTTTTGTGAGGGTCAGTTTCGCCTAGTATGTAAGGCTCTTTCAAAAAACGTGAATTGTACTTTGGATGATTGAGCAATAAAGGGATGCTTTACTCTCTCAGTGTGAACCTCATTGGCATGGATATCAATTGTTTGTTGCTTGCTTTTGATAGATTCATATCCATTTGAATTTTCAGTTTTCTATTAAAATATTCCTGTTTTACTTTGCTTGAACTTCTGCTTACATTGGTGGCCTGCACTATACAATACCAAATAAATGATGGAGAGAGTAAAATATTTATTAATAAAAAAAAACTAGCATTTTAGAGTTCCCATTTAAACCTTTTACCACAGGGAGCTACATGCCTCACTAGTAATCCAGCATAAGAAAATACCTTGTTAATTCTTTTGTTACTTCACTATTACATGGACCCGCTCTTAACCTCAGTCATTTTGATGTTTTATCTGTTTGTGTGTAGCCATTTGACATGAACAGATAGTTTTTTCTAATCATTTGCGAATTTTAAAATTGCATCGCAAACGATTTTGATATATAGTTTCTTATGTGCATTATGAGTACATGAATTATCATAATTAGAATCTCTAAGGGGTCTCTCTATACATATGTAAGATCCAATTATTATCGTCTTACAAGTTAAAAAGTTAGCTCCAAGGAAAATGCACTTAACATAAATTCCCTAGGAAGAACCAACCACACTTTAGTGATTTCCATTTTCATAAGCCACTTCACAATGCTGTCATTCGAACCATAGGAAGAATACTAATCTATGAATGCCATAAGACATGACCATCATATTTACCAAATCAACAAGATGTTACTCCAAGGTATTACCACTATAACTATGGGAAAACATTACAAATTTGTATTTGTTTCATTGTTTAAATACAAAAATGTAAACATAGTGCTATGTTTCTTTCTAAAATGCAACTTCTACACCAAGGATATTACTGTGAAGTATTGAAACATAGTGCTATGTTTAAATACAAAAACGTAAACATAGTTCTATGTTTCTTTCTAAATGCAACTTCTACTCATCAAGGATATTACTATGAAGTATTAAAACAAATAGAGATTCCCTTATCTTCCAAGTGACAATGATGAAGTAAACATCAATGACTACAAAAAATGAATGTGTGGCTATGTGGAACTCAATGTAATAGATTCAAAAAATTTCCTTTTCAATTTTTACTAATATACCTGAATTCCACTTACATGAGCCACAACACACCGCTATAAATCAAAAATAAAACCATAAATACAACCTAGGACCGTTCCTTTTATTGCCAAGCAAATAAACACAACCCAGGAACAATATCTAGCCTTCCACTATGAATTTAAGTACAATATATTTTTCTAGAAAATCACCAATAGTATGCAATATAACTACAAAATAAATAAAAACAACTAAGAAGATTTACTTGATCATGCCTAGGGATACCCCAAAGGACTTGATACACCCGATCGACAGCGCATTTTTGTCCATTGTGATCTTGCTAGAACTTCAGAGATGGGAAGATTTCACAAGCAAGATGTCTTACTATAGGGTTTTAGAGAGCAGGAAAAACTAACTAGGGTTTTTAGGACCCCTTTGGAACAAAACCATAATTAGGGTTTCAATGTGCCACCTGTCTTATCAAATTTTGGGTGGCATGACCTTTTTGGAAGGAAGCAGAGAGAAAAATGAATTTTAACGAGAGACAGAGAGAATGCGAGAGAAATTTGGTGCATGGAGAAGAGAGAACTATGCATGTTGAGAGAGAGGGGTTGAATTGTATTAAAATAGAAATAATTTCTTCTCCTATTTGATTTAGAATTCCTTCTTTAGGTATTGCATATCCAATGACAAAGCTTGACCAATAGGAACGTAGAAAATTTGTGGGGTGAGAGAGAACAAATTTAAGTCATCCATCCTACAAACCAGTCTTCATGATTTTGAGAGGATTATTAGGAACCTTATCCCCATATAATTTGGCACAAATCCAACTTCTAATTTAAACATGATTATATCCAATCTAGAACTTCCTATTATCATCTTCCAAATTTGTGGGAAGTCAAAGATAACTTTTATTTAGTCAAAACAAACTCCCACAAAGCTAGGAAACAATCTTTTCTTTTATAAGAAGATTATTTTGACATAACTAACGTTAATTAAGAACTTCTTATTATCATCTTCGAAATTTGTAGAAAGTCAAAGATACCTTTTATTTAGTCAAAACAAACTCCCACAAAGCTAGGAAACAATCTTTATTTTTGCAAGAAAATTATTTTGACATAACTAACTTTAATTAAAAAATTACCACATAAAAATAAATGGTGTGTGCCACCCCCATGGGCCTCATAGGCCACACGTTGTGAGAGTGGCACACATGCAGGGCTGGATCCAGGGGCCCCAAATGTGCCCTTCTTTATTTTGAAAATTTTGAAAATACCATTTTCAAAGATTTTACAGCAGAAATAAATTTTAAAATTTCTTAAAAAAGAGTTTTTAAAATTCAAAGAAACATTTTTAATACCAAAAATAAACTATCTAGAAGTGGATTGGTACCAAAGGGTCAAAATAAGTGAATATAAGGGCACTCCACCTGACCCAGTAACCCATGACCCGCAGTCTTATGCAAAGGCTCATGATTGACTTGTCAAAATTAGCCTAAATAAATAGTGGAACTACAGTTCAAAGGGGGCTCTCCATGCATATGTACACGTGTCGCTATAGGGCTACTTCCAGGTAATGCAACTGTCAAGTGTACATGACATACAAAAGTTTGTTAAGGCTTCGACCCTTACTCTCATAGGCCTACAACTGCACACAAGAAAGCACAAAGTTTTTTTGGCCTACAAACATCATCTGTGGGCATCCATACGACCTTAATAAGGGATGAACCACTGTGAACCCTTCTCGGTATTGCCACATGCCCAAGGCTAAAGGTTTTGGACGTAACTAAGGCCATAAACTGCCCAATCCTTTATCAATCGATATACACACTCCCATTTGAGTGCATAATCCATTATAAATATTATTTTTTACAAGCTATCTAGGCCTTTAAAGGCCACAAACCCATAGAATAGCACCTTATACACCATAGAAATAAAAATGGAACATGTATCCAATAGTTACAACTTTCAAGTATTGAGTAAATGATGTACCTGATGCCTACAGTGTCACGGAATTCGTCCTCCATGCTACGCAACATATATTTATGAAAATCATAAGAGAACGGTAGGTCGTGATTCTACAACAAAATAATGATAAAGATGTAAGTGAGCAAGTTGTATTATTTGGAAATTGTTTAGGCCAAACAGGATGACCTCACAGAAAACATAAACAAAATAAAGAAAACATTCTTCAACGACGGGGTGAGATCTGATTTAAACTAAGTTAACAATTTAAGATTAACATAGCAAACATTAGGAAAGAAAACAATGCAGAAATCAGGAACAGTCCTTTTCTTTTAGCTGATAAAATCTTGGGCATTTATGCAAATAAATTGACCAAACATAAGCTGAAAAGGCCATTCTTATAGACTTCGAGGTGTCTGCTATAAGTATTTGCACACATCAGTGCTGTTTAGGATGGTCCTTCAGATGATCATCATTCTACTGTGGCATTTTGGGTCTCGTTTGTGCGAATTTGACAGAAGGATGGCAAGAAAAAAAATAACTATGGACCACTCTAGTCATAAGATTAAGCGTGGAGCTATGTCTAGTAGTTCGGCCAACCAGGCTAGATTTCTTCATCATTATGGCCTTTCCCTCATTTATCTGTTTACTCTACACTGTGAGAACAAAAGTACAATGTCCATGGCAACAAACCCTAGTTGTGCACATACCAAGCAAAATGCATTTGTTGAGACTTTATCATTAAAAACGATCTAGTTTTAGCGAGGAATTTCATACTAATATCAAGGCACTTCCACTTTGTACATTGGCTGCTATCTTCCAGGCTCTCATTGCATTTACTGCCACTCAGATTTAGGGGAGCTATTGTATATTGTCCTATATATTCTATTGAAAAATATGTAGGACATGTGACAAAGTCACTTCATCTTGTGTTTGAGATGCTGATGCATTTTATCACAAAAACCAGCAACTGCATACAAAATAAAACATCATTTTATATTCCAAACATTCGAAAACTAAACATAGAGATAATAGTAATACAACACCAACAACGGTCAAAAAATTCCCTTCAATTTGGCAAAATATTGCAACTATTTCAGCCACACATAGCAACATCTGCTGGAAAGCTCATTTTGCAGAAAATATGCCATATTTTCCAATGATAAACTCCTCATCTATCATCCTTAATGTGATTTTCTTAATGGCACGCTATATAATTTTTCTTGAGATCTTACAGAATTCATATTAATGGGCAATACTAATAAGGAAACAATTTGCAAAATGGTAATGAAGTCAATGTGCATAATGGTATAACTTTATTCGATATACTTGTTTCCAAACAATGTCTATAAACAGTGGTCCATATTCATTATAGGAAAAAAGCTCACGCTTATAAATCCTGAGCGCAGTGCTATATAATCTGCCCTATTTATAGAGCTCCAGAATTGACGTATAAAACAAAGCTGCACAAGAAGCACATAAAAGCTATTAGATACTGGCAACAGGCATAAGAATAATATTGCAGAATAATCGCGTTCAGCACATCTTAAGAAATGGACTCCTTTCTTGTGCACCTATACTTATATGAGGCTTTAACCTAGGAATCAACAAGTCAAGTCAAAAGGAGATCACATTAATAGTTTTCTTTGAGGAAAACACAAATAAACATAAAAGGACTATTTCACATGGCATCTTGGAAGGAATCACTTGTCGTTGTAGGTGTGAAACGAAAGTATATAATGTCTACCGCGTTAATATGGAAGGTATATATTGTGATCAGTATATATGGTAAGGGTAGGTACAATATCTTGTATTTATGGTAAGTCTGGAAATAATATAAGCATTTGTGATTTATTTCTATTCTTGTCATTTGTATTTGTCTATTTAAGACAAGCCTGTATATTCATATTAATCAATGGACACTGAGTCTCTTCAGAGAAAGCTGAGACTCTTCACATGGTATCAGAGTCAGGTTGATATTTACCAAACTTCTTCCTTTGAGTAGATCATCCATGGGCGTGCAAATAAATGCAAGAAGTTCATCGACATCGTCAGCAGTAACAACATAGTAGGATTGATCAGTTAGGGTTGCAAAGAAAAGGTTGTACATATTAAAAGAAAAATCGTTGATCCCTGAAGTTGCAGAAATAATACCTTCACTTTTGCAAGTTTCTTCAAGATCTAGGATATCTTTGCTCCTGCCTCTTTGGTCCATACGAGAGATCCAGGGTTTTTCGTCTGTGATTGAAGAATTTTATTAACAATCGAAAAATCGAAGATTTTGTAGTTTGTCAACTGGTAAAATAATCAATGAGGATTCTTCATAATCCAAGCCCCTTTTTGAAAGGTGAAGTTTCAAGATCTAAGCCCTGATACCATTGACCAACACCTGTCTCTTCCTGTTTTATGTTAGACCAACACCTGTCTCTTCCTGTTTTATGTTAGACCAACACCTCACTCTTCTTGTTTTTCTGGTTTTGCTCTTGTTTTGTAGTTTTGCTATACTATGATCGGGGTTGTCTTCTATTAAGCCTTCTTTTCATGGATGTCAAATGCCACCCCTAAAATAAGCCACTCCCCCAGACAGCCAAATACATCTGTCAAAATTGCTCTAAAACCCTTCGATCAAAAAAAAAATCAATTTATATGATCCACTGTACAGATTTGAGGTCTGATTTGAAGCATTCTCAATCGATCTTCACATATAAATCAGCATGTCTCTCATCTCTTTTTATGTCTTCCGATTCCACCGTTGCTCTGCAATTTCTGATAGGCTTCATTTATTTGGCTAGGATTTCCGACTTGTTTTCATTTTCGACCATCTGTACTATTTGTGGGTCTCCGGCGTTTTTATCTCTCTACCTCTCTCTCTCTCTACGTCTGTAAAACCAGCTGCACAATTGTTTCTTCCCTACACTGTCTAAGATATGCAGTTTTCTCTTTGTTTGCATCGTGTCCACTTAAAACGAAAAGTAGAAGAGACTTTTACATTGTGAAAAGTTATTTTCTATACATAACCTTCAAGGAACATTTTGGTCTACTATACCAAGTTCCCTAAAGCAAACTGAGCCGCACTGTTTTCCCTTTGCACCACCTCTAAAAAATGGCCTCTAAAAACGGTCGATCTGCCCCATTCGTAAAAAACCACCCCATTGCCTGTTTTTGCCTATGGATCTTGATCTCAGGGTCCAAATCTTTCTGAAATCTCATCTGCCACTTTGAGCTGATACTATAATTGCCCCTCTGAAACTTGACCTATCTGAGCTGATAGTCATTGCGCCTCTAAACTTTTACCTAAAAACACCCCTCCAAAATAATCTTTTCTGATGTTTGAGTTTTCTGTTACTCGATCCTGTCAGATGATCAATTTTTCTGTTACTCAATCCAGCATGTTCCAACGGCCTGTCGGTCTGCTGATGATCGAGTTTTTGTTACTCGATCTTATATTTTCTCTATATGATTGAGTCTGTTCATCTATTACTTGGTCATGTCTGTTTTGGTCTGCAAGCTGTTGAATCGGTCTCAGATCCGCACCGAGTTTTGTCTCAACTGCTTTTGTCTCCGGTGAAGATTTAAAGTTTTTGTTCATTGTTAAACTCTGATTTGTCGCTCTGTTTTTTCCTTTTGTTTCTGAGGCTTGTTGATCCTGTTGGGTGAGTGTGGCCATTAAAGGCCTTATGAGTACTTGTAAAATGAAATGATACAGTAGAACATGAACTCAATGGGAGTGTGGTCCCTTGTGGACCATACTAAGCAAATTATGTTTGCTGATACTAAATTGTGCTTGACATGCTATGTCAGTCTGGTTGGAAAAACATATGTTACCTAGGCATAGAAAACTATCCAATAAAGGTTCTAATAGGTCATCCCTTGATGAGGTCAGAGTATGCCCGAATGAGTGAGCCGAGGGACTGTGTCACCCTTTGTGTGTGATAATGGACTTCAGAGACGGGGGCCAAAGCCTCATCTATGTACCATCACACGGCATGCATAATGATAGCCTTTTTAGGAAAGCGAACCACCTTTTAGAGTGAAGCTTACGTATGTGCGAGAGATACCCTATGCGTCATAGGAGCTATGGTCGCATCAGGTCTAAGTGACATTGACACGTCTCTAAGGAGAACCTGAAATCCATAAAACTGAGATTACCCTTTAGCTCATCGACCAGGCCTTGGTGTCCCACTAATGAACCCCCGCATGAACTGTGAGTCATGGAACATACTAAGTCGGTTGATAAAGCAAGTGTGGATCGTAGTCCACAATTGAACGTGGAGTGCTCCAAATGTTTATTCCTAGACCATATGAATCTTTATCCCATCTAATAAATTTAATTGTGTTTATTTTTTTATAATATGATTTTAGAATTATTATTTGAAGTTTTTTAGATCTCTGGATATTTTATCTAAAATAATGGGATTTATAAAAATGAAGATATTGATTTTTTAATGTTTTAAATATTCAAATTAATTCTAAAATATTTTATTAATTTTTAGAAAATATTTAAAAAGCATTGGGGCTCAGTGGGCACATGGGCCCACCATGCCCTAAGTTGGTGGGGCTCACGTAGCCACCTTTTGGGTGGCACGCCCCACTTTTAGAAGTCTTTCCTATTTTATAGGGGTTGAAGTTGATAAGAGTAATAACTTTGGCTTGGAGGTCAAGTTATTATGAGATTTGGAAAGGTGATTTATCTTGAGAAAGATTTAAATGAATCTTTTAGAAAGCATGATAAGGCTTGTGCATATTTTTTTGATAAACCACAACATTATGATTAGTATTATTTTATTTGATTTATATTGATGGGATAATGATCAAAGGAAAGGGGGGATAAAGGTTCTAGCACCTTCCATAACATGTTGATGACCCATCTATAGAATGGAGGGTTCAAATCTCTTACCCCACAAGTCACTCATGATCAATGGTTCATATTCAATCCACAAGAAGAGGCAAGCCATAGAAATCCTAAAGAAACTCTAAATCCTATTTTTGCACTATAAAAGGAGGACCCCTTGCCCATAATTCTTTACACCAAAAACTTTCTCTCTCTCTCTCT